GGTCCCAGGACGTGTGTGGCAAACACTGGAACACAAGCTGGGGCGAGGGATGCGCAGATTCTAAAGGATAAAAGGCAAGTGGTGAGCATTCAGTTTTCACACTGACCAATGCCTCTCCCGCCCTTCAGAGGCTCTTTCTCTGTTACACAGGCGGCAGCTGTAATTGTGGGAAGCCCTGGATGTATGGGAAGTGATTCACACCGAGGAAGAAGAGGCAGCAAAGCACAGGCTCAGGGATGCCACAGATTTCTGCAGATGCCGTTCTCAAACTGATGATGAAAAGAAGCATCTGTATAGCACTTTCCAGTGCTTGAAGGGCTCTGCTTACACTATCTAGTTGTAAACAGTACAACAACTCTGTCCGGTAGTTTTATTTCTGCCTTCTACCCCACTGCGGATGAGGGAGGGATTGAAGTAAAGCAAGTTTGTGACAGAAGAATAGGAACCAACTCCTAGAGGCTGAGGTCCCTTTGGCCTCCCCCAGTAAAATATCTGAGGCAATTGACGGGCATTGCCATTCAAATGGGGTGCTTGTGTTGTGTCTTGTGAGGGATTATGTGGGGCAAGGCTTACCTGTACCCGGACAATATTTTATTCAAGTTGGCACCCCTGGGCTGAAGTGAAAGTCAAACTGTGGACTTTCTGACTCCAAACTCAGTCTCTGTTCGTAGGCTGAGCCAGTTCTCGGAATGTGCTACTGAAATTCCTTCCTTCCCCAAAAGTATATTAGGCTGAAGTTGTACTACTTCAGGCTACGGTGAAGACTTATGGGACTGAACGCTCCTACTACATCAGGGGTGGAGAGTCTGTGGCCCTCCCAATGTTGCTGGACTACAACTCCCATCATCCCTGACCATTGGCCATCGTGTTTGTGGCTGATAGGAGTTGGAGTCCAACCACATCTGGAGAACCTCAGGCTCTCCACCCAGGACTGCTTGAAGAGGGGACTTCCTCCCTCATGCTCTGAGTCCCTTCACTGCACTACACATGAGCAAGGGGAATGAACACAGGCAGCTTCCCCCAACATCAGAAGGAAAGGGGGCGGCCTCAACTCAGGTGGAGCTTTGTGTGCATCTGGGAGACTCGCAGATCTTTGGATTGCATGTACAATAAAGATACGAGACATTTGAAAGTTTTTTTTTCCTATTCATTACAAGAAATAAAGTTCAGAGACACACACAGAGAGAAAGTGCACATACGCTACATGCTAGAAAAACAAAGTCGTTTCGTCTAGCTTGAAGATGTGGATGAAGAGAGGCTATAAGCAGTAATAGTCTGCAATCTGCATACTAACCAACACTTGCCAAGCAAAAATAGGTGCACTTACTGTAAGTGAGAAAGCAGCAATGGGATATCATCCCAGCAGTGTGAACAATCAACTTCTACTAGGCTTGGTGGCTGACACATCATCCCATTATGCAATCTTGGCAATTCTAATATTTCCTATTCCAAGCTCAATATAAAATGCATTTGAGGGCTAGTTTACCACCAGCCATTCCTGCTCTGGCGTGGTGGGGAACCTGGATAAAACTCATGCATGACAACTATTCAAAATGGATTTCTACACATGCTTTATTTTAATTGTCTCACGACAGTTCTGCAATTATTGTACATGCAATGCTACTTTCAACACATGGTAGTAGCTTTCAATCCCTGTAAGAGAGAGAAAAACAGGACAGAACTTTTACAAATAAATCAATAAATCAATGTGTGCCAAAACACAAAGCTGGTGAATTATTATGGCAGCCTTCTACTACAGCACTCTCTGCCAAGCAAAGATAAAAAAGGATATCTCTGATTACACAATATATTAAAAATTCATTTATCCTTTCACTTTCTTCCTTAGATCTATAACGGAGGAGCCTTTATATCTTAGCAAGAAAGTGAGTAATGTGAAATAAAACACCTTCTATCGCACAGAGCCCAGAGCACCAATGTTAAATTGCAGCACTATCCAAATAAAACAAAACTTACAGACAGCAGAGAGAATAACAAGTTAGTAATATTTTTTAGACCACTCGGGTGGGGGATAGCACAGAGATCTGAGTGAGTCAGTACCTCCACCACCCAAACTTTGGTTCTTTCAGACATGTCTTCCTTCTCATCTTCTAACGTGACACATTCCATAATCCGTCAACAAAGCCTAAAGGCAGTGCTTTTTTCTGGGGGAACGCAGGGGTACACATACCCCTAAACATTTTGTGAATCTAAGTTTGGCTTCACTGAGGGGCAATATTTCAAATATGAGTAGGAAAATGAGAGCACCCCTAAAAGTTTTTTTGGGGGAAAGCACTGCCTAAAGGTGGCCATTCTTGAACAAATAAACTTCAAAGGCAAATGCAGTGTGAAACTATTGAATTCCATCAAGAGGTTCAATGCTACAACTTGTGTATGGAATAAGCACAATGGATCTTTACCGTACTACATAACTTACCAATGCCAGGATGTCTGTGTTATTAAGTACTGGGTTTGGGGGCTTTTTTCCTGAATGACCACCATTAATAAAGTAGTTATTGCTGTATTATCTCATTTCATTTCCTCTTGACCTCACTGTTTGCAGTTTGTCCTACCGCTATCAATTATATATGTACAGTGGTACTTCGGGTTAAAAACTTAATTCGTTCTGGAGGTCCGTTCTTAACCTGAAACTGTTCTTAACCTGAGGTACCACTTTAGCTAATGGGGCCTCGCACTGCCGCCACGCGATTTCTGTTCTCATCCTGAAGCAAAGTTCTTAACCCAAGGTACTATTTCTGGGTTAGCGGAGTCTGTAACCTGAAGCGTCTATAACCCGAGGTTACAGAGGTGGACTATAGTCTGTGAAAGCTAATACCATAATAATTGTATTACTCTGGAAACTAGACACAGGGTGGATCTACACACAGAAAAAAACCCCTGCTATAAATGCCATAAATTAAATTGTTATAAGAAAAGAAAAAGAAAACGCTATGTAAAATCGCATCGAAACGTTTTGTGCTCCACAGTGCCACCTGGTGTTGCATGTTTATAACACATTCAAAACACTTTTTTTTTACTAATGTAGCTGAGTCCACAGTTGTTAATAATGGAGATTTTGGGGGGTCACAAAGCTGAATATGCTCTATGTGAGGCTTCCCCTGAGTCTAGTCACAAATGTGCAGCTGGTGGAAAATGCTATGAACAGGTTGCTGAGTGGAGCCCTGGACACACACGTATTACACCTGGGTGCAGAGGGAAGCGTACTGGTTGTGAAACAGCTACAGGGCCAAGCTCAAGGTTTTGTTACTAACATATAAAGCCCTGATCAACTTGGATTTCTGAAGTACCGCCTGTGCCTCCCCCACCCCGACCTGTAAAATCACTGAGATCTGAAAACAGGTATTGTCCACCACTGTTCCCTGCATTGTAGAATGCCCCTCTCTCTGCTATATGTGAAGCACCATCTCTCTTGGCCAGGGATAGCGCAGTCGGTAGAGCATGAGACTCTTAATCTCAAGGTCGTGGGTTTGAGCCCCACATTGGGCAAAAGATTCCTGCATTGCAGCGAGTTGGACTAGATGAAAAATCTATGATTTTCAGTTCCTTCAGACACCATGTAAGGATATATCTTTTCTCCCAGACTTTCACGGACCCGTATGACTGGACCCTTTTATCACTGAATTCCTTTCAGATGTCTTTATTATGCTTAGCTGCATCTGTTTTTATGATACTGTTGTGTTGTAATTTTTTTATCCTTCTGGGCAGTTTTTAAATATTGAGCTGTTAAGAAATGCTTTTAAAGACGATGCAAACAAATAAATAAATAAGCAGGAGCCCATGCCTCCCATTTCTGTTTTTCTTTTTAGAAAGCTATTCACTGCCCCAGACAAAGGTGATCCTCTGGCTGCAAAGGCAGCCTGCCCTCTGTCCGTAACACGGGGACAGGGATAGCACTGCAGATGGCCTCTCTTCATATAGCAGTAGCCATCTGCAGGATTATAGCGATGGGAGAAGACCTCCCATCTGGACACAGTCTGCACTTCTTGTGCTGTGTGGTGAAATAGATATGATGTGCTATGGATGAAAAGCACACAGAGGCTGCAATCTCCACTTACCCGGGAGTAAACCCCATTGAATTCAATAGGCCCTACTTCTGAGTTAGATGTGGTTAGGATTGCAGCCCTACTTATGTGTAGTCCATGGTGAGATGGTGGTTGCTTGCAGGGGGGAAAGAAAGCAGACATAGAAATTCAGTGGGCCAGCCCAGCAACAAGAATCGCAGAAGCCTCAATCCAGGTAAATCACCATAAAGGTTGATTGAGGTCTTTATGAATTCACAGCAAGCCGCTTGCTCTTTACTATTTTTTTTGATATCAAATTGTCAAAATAGCTGTATATTTCAGAATACGGTATGTGATAGCTGCTTTTCATATTTGATAATACCCAGATCCTAATTGTGAATAATAATCAACTGTAATCTGAAAAATAGGGTGCTGTCGTCCCACATTCCCTAAACTTCACCCTGATCACATGATGTCTAGGTCTAGACCACTTTAGTTAATTAAAACTTTTACACATGCCTTTATTTTTATTTTTTTTAACTGTGTCTGTTTTAGGTAATGGGCCCATCAAACAGATGAAGAGATGGCAATAGCAAAAGGGACTGTTTCTGAATTTTGTTTTTGAAGTTTTTATCAATAAGCAAGATGCAACATGGAACTTTAAATGAAAAATGCTGCCATGTCAGGGCACCCAAATTTCACTGAATCACATGTGAGGGGGATTACATGTACCCAATAGCATTATGTGCAGGCATCTTCTTCTTTTTCATGTCTCTGAATTGCATTGTATCCTTATTTGAACTTGGGCTTATTTCCTGCTGACCTGACTAATCTTTACGGAGCGCATACTAAAATCAAGGAAGCAAACACTCATTAAAGCAAATAACCTTAACAAGCTATCAACAATCAGCCGCACAAGGTCAACAGCAGCACTCAAGAGCTTCAGCACAAGAAGTCCCCGAAGAACAAGCAGTGTGCTTAATAAGATCTCCCCAAATGACTCAGACAATGAGTCATCAATATTGGGAGACATGGCAGGTGAGTTTATGGCTCTTCCAACATGAAATACCTGGCAGTTCCAAAGGAACAAACTAACCACAGCTGTAATCTACCATGATCTGGAGCATATTCACTGATCACAGCTGTGTAATTTCAGGTAACATACTTCTGTTGTTTAGTTTTGTTTAACATTGTTAAATATATAGTCAGACCATCTGCACAGTATTTTTTTAAATTGGAAATTACAGCCATAACTTCCTTTTTATATATCAATAAACTAAACAGCAAAATTTCAAAGGGATCCTTCTCCACCAAACTCTGAGGCAGAATGTTTGTCCCACGCCACACCATTGCCTAATTGCACACTAATTGGACAAACGTGATTAAATATTTCAAGATCTTTCCTAATTGCCTCTATTTTAGCTTTCAAATTTGCTTGCCACCAACAAATTTAATGACACTGGTGTCTAGTCATCAGCAAAAAGCCCAAGAGTTGCTCTTTAAAATGTACATAGTCAGAATATTTACTGATTGTGCATTGTTGTTTCCAATGTAGCTTAATTAGAAATCCAATCAGTTCTCTAAGTCCAATTATACTTGATTTGTAGATTCAGAGTATGATACATAATGAAGCTAAGCAGCTAACGATAAACGTGCTTGAAATGAAACAAAAAAGAGAAATATTTTAATGTGTCTCTTGTTGTTTTAGAAACTTGAAGTAATATATGATGAAAGTGAAACACATCAGGATATACTGAAATTTATGACTCAACGAGATATTTTTGGCAAAACCTGTTTCCATTGTTTGATTAATGAACAAAGAAATTATGTGGGCCTGCTGCTGTAAAATCTTTTTACTTGATAAGACATGAAGAACAACAATATATTTCCTGAATAGTTAAGACATTAAATAGGTACATTTTCTGGTATTTGAGATTCGCCGTGGCACAGAAATCTTCCCCTGACCCTCATTAGAAAGAAAGAACACAATACATGAGAGAATATGACTGATTTAAAACAGCCACAATGTTCATATTATTCATCCATTCATATAAAAGGATATATATAAAAAAACCCATTTATTTCCATATCTTTGTATGGGATATTTACAAACATTTGAAGAAAAGTATGTGTGTTGTTGACCACGGTCCTGAGCAAGAAAAGGAGCAGTGCCGGTGACAAAACTGGGAATGTATCCTGCCTAATAAATTTTGAATAAAAATGCCCTGCTTTGATAGGGATACAGTGGTACCTTGGTTCCCGAACAGTTTAGCTGTTGAACAAATTGGCTCCTGAACACCTCAAACCCAGAAGTAAGTGTTCTGGTTTGTGAACATTTTTCGGAAGCCGAACATCCAACATGGCTTCCGTTTGAGTGCAGGAAGCTCCTGCAGCCAATTGGAAGCCACACCTTGGTTTTCGAACAGTTTTAGAAGTCGAATCAACTCCCGGAACGGATTAAGTTTGAGAACCAAGGTACCACTGTATATCTTATTTTGTTCTAAAGATACTTGATCCGGAAATTAATTCTGAGCCAAGAACTACATACATGCCCATGCCAGCCTTCTCCAGTGAAGCAGGTTGATAATACAAACATTCATTTGTTAGTGGGAATTGTTTTTCTCCACTGAAATACGTGAGAATGCTTCCTGGCTATAGCAGAAGTTCCTCAGGCCTTGTTTTTACCACAACAGTCAATGTCCTGGCCTTGGAACTGGGAAGCCCCAGGTCTGAAATTGGGATGTAGCTGACATAGATTCTGTATATGTAGGTCCCAGACCTCTCTGAAGTTGCATGAGGTAAAAGGGATTTACAACATCGCGCTATATAACTGTCAGGCAATAGGAAGCTTCTGGACTGCTCAGACCTGGTACAAGTACAGCTGGTTTAAGAACAGCTTAGTTTATGAACAACTTGGATTAAGAACGCTGCAAACCCGGAAGTAGATGTTTTGGTTTGTGAACTTTGCCTTGGAAACAGAACATGTTCCGTTTTCCGTTGAGTGTGTTCCATTTGTAAATTGAGTCTGCTGCAGCTATGGGAAAGCACGCCTTGGTTTAAGAACACTTTGGTTTAAGAACGGACTTCCGGAACGGATTAAGTTTGTAAACCAAGGTATCACTGCAGTCAGAACAGAATAACACTGGGAAGTCACACACCAGTTTAAATGTCCCACAGCACCCTGGAGAAGTGCAACATTAGAAAGTGCAGGAAATTTAAAAGGGGTAGCAGATTGTGGCTGCTTGACACAGACTGCGGCATTGCTGCTGCCCGTCATATGTCACTGCCAGTTAGCTTCCCAGGGTGGGGCAGTGATGTCAAAGGGGACCCACAATGATAGGCAGCATCAGATGGCATTTTGCCAGGGGTTCCCTCTCACCTGGAGCTGCTTCTGACTACAAGTTCCGTATCTCAAGATACTGACAAGCTAGAAAACACATCCTTCATCTTGTAGTCAGACAAATTATTTTAAGCGTTGAAATAGAATACTCAAAATACAGCTCCTCATACCAGACAATATTAAATAGTTCCCTGTGTGCATTCAGCCTTGAACATTTCTTCTACCTTCATCCCTGTGCTTTTTGATCCTCTTTAGATTATAATGTCTGCATAGAAACATCTTGCCCTGCGTAGCTCTGCTTAGGGCATTAAAATGCAGCCATCGTGTTTTCATTTTGTTTTGTTTATAGGGCATTGCTTTTATTGATTAATGCTTCCAACGAGCAAAATGCTAATCATGTGGGTGTATTTTTAAGCCATGAAATGCAACACACAGACCTGCGGCACCAGCAAGGAGGGGGAAACCCCTTCATTTAAACAGGAGGTTCTGTTAAATTCATACTTGAAAGTATTCCTACTCCCAGGGATACAGCAGATGGTGCAAAATGTGGCCCCTAAGTACATGTTAGTGGCAGGCAGAAGGAACATCTGCATTGTACTGGTTGCACTGGTTGACAGCACATTTCTAGGTCCAAGTTGAAGTGTTAGTGATGACCTTTGAAAGTGCTAAATGTTGGGGTTACTTCACTCATATCTGCCTGCCCTGACTTTATGAACTGTCTCTGAGGCCCTGTTTGTGTTCTTGTCTATAAGAACAACCAGGCTGGCAGGCAGTTGGAACAAAGCCTTCTCTGTAGTGGCCCTTCTTCTGCGGAACTCAATTCTAAACAAGACCAGACAGCCCCCATTCCTACAAGTTCTTAAACAGACCTGAGTTCTTAAGCAGGCCTGAGATACACTTGTTCTCTGTTGCTTTTATGGAGTTATTTTAATGTCTGTAGTAATGGTGGTACTGGCTTGATTTATTTTATTTTATCTCTGTGTGTGCTGATTGCACTGGGCTATTTTTATAGGTTGGCTATTTTAAAGTTATTGGGTGCTTAAAGTTTTAAATTGTGTTTTACATTGTTATTGCATATGGTTCAATTTCATGCTATTGTATGCTGTTTCATTTTATACTGTGTGTGCTGCTTTGTGAGTATATTCTCCTGAAAAAACAGGATAAAAATCTATAAAATAAATAACAATTCTTACTTTTACCATTACGAACCAATAAGTAGTTCCATTTCCTTCTAGGAACCAGATCAATTTGCACAACCAAACTGGCTTATGTGGGTTGAACAGATACAGAGTTTAGTACACAGTGAAACAGACAAACACAGGCTTCTAAACTGACCCAAATTTTTCACGATGCCAAAAATGCTAAAAGGTGGATTGGATAGTGAGAAGATCAATGTGAGCTGATTTGCAAACTAGGCATGCGGTTTGGTCTCACACGTTTTTTGGCCACATGCTGAGCTCCGAATTTTGTCATGACACCTCATATTTAGAACATCAGTTTGTATAAATTTACCAAAACATTTGTCCATGGAGTTTGATGCTTTTGGAATTATGGTGCTGGAGGAGACTCTTGAGAGTCCCATGGACTGCAAGAAGATCAAACCTATTCATTCTTAAGGAAATCAGCCCTGAGTGCTCACTGGAAGGACAGATCCTGAAGCTGAGGCTCCAATACTTTGGCCACCTCATGAGAAGAGAAGACTCCCTGGAAAAGACCCTGACGTTGGGAAAGATGGAGGGCACAAGGAGAAGGGGACGAAAGAGGACGAGATGGTCAGATAGTGTTCTCGAAGCTACGAACATGAGTTTGACCAAACTGCGGGAGGCAGTGGAAGACAGGAGTGCCTAGCGTGCTCTGGTCCATGGGGTCACAAAGAGTCGGACATGACTAAACGTCTAAACAACAAAAACCAAAACATTTACCTGTGTGACACAGAATCAATTTGATGCACCATCAGAAAATCCACTGTCATGGTAAAATAAACATGCACTGAGTTCCAACATAGGAAGACAGTCATGTGCAGGCTACATTTCTGCAGGTATACCAAAACTGATGCCAGTGAGTTTAGTACATGACAGTGTAATGCATACATCTACCTTGCTGGAGCTGATTCAGGTGGGACTTACCATGGGTTAAGAATGTTTCCACACATTATTGATGTAATTGGAAGAATACTAGACTAAAACAATAAATTAAAGAAGGTATCGATGAGTGGAATGCAGACTCATTAAGTCATGCTTAGTGTAGAAGACTGAAAGCAACAGGGCTTATGAATCATGATTTCAGTGGGGCTACTCTAAGCATGACTAAGTCTAGATCCAGCCCAGTCTGTCCCAAGGAGGGGCAGACAAATGATTCAATGTTCTGTTTCCTTTCTCCTTCCCGCCCGCTGTCTGTTGGTCACACAGAGTGCAGTCCATGGCCATTACACCACATACCTAAGGTGTTGGGATTCGGGAGAGAAGAGAAATACCTGGCTGGACGTAAGGAGCACACATGGGCCCATCCCATCTATGCCACAATCAATGTTCTGTGATGGGCAGCGTGCAGTATGTCAACCAAGAACATAGGAGCCAACTCGTAGTGGCTGAGGTCCCTTCATTCCCTTCATAAATTATTTGAGGGGCAAATATTGTATGTGTGCTGCTTGATTATGTGGGGTAGAGCTTACCTGAGCCCCCCCCCCTTAATATTTTAGTAATGTTGGCACCCTTCACCAAGAGCCAGTCAAGGATGGCAATCGAGGAAAGAGGGTCCCATTGATTCTGCAGGGAATCCTTATCCATGTGAAAATGGATTGTGTCCAGATGGCACAGCTCTGCCATTTTTAGGGGAAAACTAGCTATTACCGGTAAATCAATAGCTAACAATATATTTGAGTTTAACTTTCTCCCTTTAAGTCCAGCACTGGTACAGACACATTCCTTAGTGATTTCAAGGTCATACAATTATTATAAATAATTTCCTATGTTTATTTTTTTATTGTTTAATAAAGAAATTTATTACTGCTCTTTATACATAGATATTTGGTAGGTTCCTGGCTTTATCCTCTCCCCTTTATAATAAGGTCTGACCCTCTTTAGCATGCAACAAGAGTCTAATGAGCCATGCAGGCTTTCTGTAAGTTCTTCATTGTTGCAAATGCCTGACACTAATCTATGTCATTTATTCTAATAATAAGCAAATCAGCTGATATTTGGTGCAATGAAAATCTGCTAAATCTGTTTTATGGCTGTAGCCATTTCAAACAAGTGCTTTGGCTATACCGTGGCAACAGACATAGTTGTAACTGTTGTGTGATGGACCAATGAATCAAATGTTAGTGGCTATGCTGGGGGCAAGTCACATGGGTAGGTGTGATGCCTAGGAATTATTTATAGCTGGTGTTAAGGCACTGAGATGTAAATCAAGAGGTTCAAATTGTGCCTCTGCCATGAACTCACTTGGTAGCCTTAGGCACAGGCCTTGTATGATTGTTCCCCGAAATACAGGATAATCACACGGACATAAGTGACATGGTTGTTGTGAGGATTATAACATGATAATGTATGCAAAGCACTTTGAAAATGCT